GTGACCGACGAGGCTGGCTGCCGGATACTTATTGCTGTTGGGCGGGACCTGGAGGCTAGCCGCGGCGAAGGGGTTAATGCCGCCGGGAATAACATTCATGTCCAGTTCGCCGCCAGTCAGTCTGAGCGGTATCAGCGACAGTGGATCCAGGTTTTGGATGGCGTTGTTGACCAGGAACCGCTTCGCACATTCGGCGAAAATGTCCGGTACCACCACTGGCTGGTTGGAATTACTTCTTCCACGATTGGCAGATACTTGTTCCTCCGACGTAAGTTGTTGGAAGAGGGGAAGGTTGGCATTGTCGGCACTGAAATCGCTAAAATATGTTGCAAAAGAGTCAAGTTAATTGTGTGAAGTAGAATGCAATAGTCTCATATAGATCATTATCAAGCGCGGCTTCCGTTTAAAAGAAAAAAAAGATACTCAGTGTTGTTAAAATAGTTACGGAGGCATAAATGAATGAGTAATAGTGCTACTTTTAAGGCATATTCCTACCAAAATAATAGAACATGCACTAGCTAAAGACACTGCCGATGGTAACACTATCAACATTTCTTAATCCTAAATACACACTTCTTTAAGTAAATAGTATGAAGAAGGCGTGATTTATTACCGAAGGATGAAAGATCCTTCGGGCCTATTTTAAACAAGAAAATCGAAGATTTACAAAAAAATGCTTACTTATCAATTGAGTTCTGTACCGAGTGTTGTTTTGCAAGGAGCTTAAAGTAGTCCAAAGCCTACAGCCCGAAGTATGCGAAATATCTATGGATGTTGCTGCAGGAGAATGAATATTTTGCAGCGTTTCAGAATTTCGTTTAACATTTAATGTGTTTGGTTACTGTGAGCTATTTTTAGTTGGCCACTGGTCCGGAACATACCCCAAGCATTTGCATGTAGCAAAAAATTGGTTTGAAGAAAAAATTAACAGGAAGAATTTCGTGTGAACCGTTAGGACGCCCATGATATTTTCAAAGATATGCACCTGTTTTTTGAATACTCTTCATCAGTATTATATAAGTGTTTTTCCGCGACAGGTCTATGTTTTCATGCAACGACAGTTAGATGACATTCTGACGGCACGGATGCGTCAATGTGCCAAACGTTTCACGATGTGCAGTTCACGATAGGGAGGGCCACTACAAAGGTATAGCGTGTATGTCAAGCCGTAAAAAATATCCCGTAAATGCAACGCTTTTCGTTTTTCATAATTTGCCTCCAATGAGATAAGGGCTTCCATTAGCGAATCCGATGTGTCCCATAAAAACTAGTACCTCAGAACTGCAAGAATACAAAAACAGAAATATATCTAACGGCGCCTGCTCTAAATTTAGTCGCACACAAGGTCTAAGATGAAGCACCAATAATCATACTAGCGGTAGTCCTCCAAATGAAATCTACTTCGCTAGTTAGCGGTATTTGTCAGGCAGGTGCTGTAGGTTTCCTGCACATCGTTGTGGGAATCAAGTAAAAGTGTTAATAATAATTGAGATCCATACGCCGTACGGGGCAGTGCTCGGACTTTTAAAGCTGAACCGCAAACTTTTGCAGCTCTCCACTGGCATGCAAATTTCTTATACGTCGGATGGCCTATTGCGTCCATAGTAAAATGAATTTTACCATTTTTCATTATTAAAACAAACAAGAAGATATCATCAGTAAAGGACGCTAGCACCATTTTGGGGAAGTAGACATTTGCCCAAATTTATTGACTCTTATAAGGACGACTCGTAATGATGTCGGCCATTTCAGTATTCGGCCATTAAGCAATGTTGTAGTCTCTGGGGTTGGTGTGTAGAATTGTATTCACAGTCAATGGAGGAGCATTTCTCTCTCCTAACCGACTGACATTTATGTTAAGATTTTTCGACGGACTGTGGGCTTTTTCATTTTAATATAACGGTTAGACTGTAGCAGACTATGATCGCGATCGTGAACCTCACAGGAAAGTAAAGACGGTGAATACGTTTCGAGTGGCTATGACATTACACAGTATCTACCCTTTAGGCCTACGTCCAGCTTTCTCTGAGCCCTCCATCAAGCTAAAGTCAAAATGCCGATAACATGATGGCTTGTGGTCAATAGCGAACATAAACTGTTAATCTATGCGTATTGTGTACGCCTGTGTTCGCACGCTCAACGAAAATTCCAAACACTTATTCTTATCCAAACCCATCTCTCCGTAGCCGAACTTACAATGCTTACGGTCTACCCATTCCAACGTTTTCTATATTTGTAAATCGAGCCCATGCCTTGTCCACTAGGGAGGCCTTCGTGCAAGACCGACAAAATAAACCTCAAAAGAGGACGCTTGATAGGCAATCGTCGTCGAAAAGTGATATTGTTCATTGTATATGCATATACTTGGAACGCGTACGTTTTCATTCATCCATTCGTGAGGAAGCAGTTAATTTAATCGGCTTAACGTATTAGCGGTACCGCGTATCAAGACAGATAAACCCTGTGGTGTTCTTAATTACCTACTGAAAATACTCATCTACTACCAATACAATACGATTCTCAAGTTGCAGCTCATTCGACGAGACTCGGCCACACATTAAAATTTGATGAGGCCGAACTTCTCGCAAAAGGTGACAATCGGGTGAGCCGAGAATTATCTGCGTCAAAGTTCACGGGCCCTCAATCCATAAACAAGTGCACCAATTTGCCCAATCAATATTCGGTGCTGAGACTCAATATGGCCAAAGAAAGTCGCCGCTTGGGGAACGGAATGGCCACCGCGTCATCCTACGCCAAAACCGGAGGGCCAGATGGCCGAGCAATCATCACGCCCGAGCCCAACGCCCGTGATGAAAGTTCAACAGGTCAGAGCCCGCATGCCATCCAACAAACAATTCACGCGCAAGAAGGCAATTTACGTTAATTGTCGCTGTTTTGTTTGCAGTAATGACTGCATCCTATAACTAATGCAAACGCCTGTGCATGTATTACCCGTTTCTGCTACTGTTTACTGCTAATGTCTCTGATGATGAATCCGAGACGGATATCGAAATGTTAGGCGAATAAAAGTGTTGTCCCAGCCATCGAGTCTTCTTCTACTATCGGTAGTCTAATTTGCGGGGCAGTTCAGTCAGCGCACAAGTATTCTGAAGGGGATAAAGGACAAACTGGACAGTACACTGTACAGAAAATAACGTTTGTCAGGCAGGAACGCTGTCGCTTAAGAAAAAGAAATCGTTTCAAAATATTTTCCACGTCCTCAAATTAGTGCAGATCTTCCCAGAAAGCAGTCATGTATCAGGTTAAATATTTAGACTAACCGGCTTGTATTTTGTCTTTTATTCGAATGTGATCGAAACCTACCTCTTATGCTCCCTGGTCCGCTGTCGGTCGGCCAGTTTGAGTTCCAGGGGTCTCTTTGCGCCAGGAAGTGTGATCTTTGCCTTCCGTATGCCGTCAATGGCCTTTTGAGCCTCCTCTGACGTCAGATAGCGCACGAATCCGGTGCCTTTAAGGACAACAAAGCAAACATCCTCAATTAGTGCTGGCTTCCTTCAAACAGCCTTCAGCTTGCACGGCAGCAGGGGAAGCGAACGATGAAGTAAGGAAATGCTTTGCACATTTAAATTATTTAGGAGATTTGGCAAATTTGATTAATTTAGTTGACTGAATTGTGAAAAAAACTCGTGCCATTTGGCGGGATTTGAACCCGAATAGTAGGGAAGGCCTTTACGCAGCCAAAGCTCTAACAGTTGAGCTACAAATGCCACGCCTTGCACCGTGAGTTGAACGACACTTGGATCGGTTTTACCCGACCAACATTACTGCTCCTATGATATCCACCAATACGGAACAGTAAGCTGACTGCCAAAGCAGGATTTCCTAAGTAATCATCTAGAATCCACCAGCATGACTATTAGGCTGACTTAATTAGCTAGGAGGTTTGGCAGATTTGCTTGATTTAGTTGACATTTAAATTACTCAGATAGGGACGATAATGCTCAGGATGTAGTGGCCCCCTTCATTTGCAGACCTGAAGATCCACTAATGCCACGTCGCACTGTAAACGTCTGGGAGGACCTGCTTTGTGTTTCCGCAAAATCTGAAAACGATTTTCTTCTTTCACTACTACCCTTTATCCTAGTAGTCAGGTGGACCTGATGGAACGTCATGAGTCGGGATAAATTCTGTAGAACCCTTCAAAAAGTGACAGGAACGGATAATAATTGATTCATTTTCATATCCCATTTTGAAATGCTAGCTGTTCAGCTGAGAGTTACTACAGAGGCTCCTTTCATATGAGTCGTTCAACATGAGGGAGAGAAAACAATTTCTACATGCCAGTCAAGTTTTCATCCTGGACCTTTTATCAGCAGGCATCTACTTGCTCTCATTCTTTGTCTGCTGCAAAGTACATCGAAAATATGCGCGCAAACTCGCGTCCACGATTGAGAAATATTTATTCACAAGTATACACGTGGTAGTTGTTAATGACACTTTACCAGATGCGTGCAACTGTGAGTTTATATATCTAGAAGTTATTCGTTAATGGTACACTACCACCCATTGTTATCCCGAATAGAAAGACACTACGTTGGCCTTTTGTAGTCTTGTTTCTGAAGTTTTTCCATAAACTGTATTTTCCTTTGGTTTTATTTTGCTTGCAGATTCTCTTGGAACTAGGTCTTCAGCGTGATTCACACGCACCGCCTCGGTGTCCGTTCGAGTAAACCCTCATAAAAGTTACAGGGGAACCCCCTGGGCGCCGGAAAAATCACTATTTTCCTTACAGTATCACAGTATCCCGGATAAAAAGAAACTACGTTGCCTTTTTTGAGCTTCGTTCAATAAATTTCACCGTCCGTAGGCAGTATTCTGTTTGCGGATTCTCCTGGTACTAT